AGTAGGGATTTGTGTTGTAAATAGTGAAGACCTTTACTAAAATAAAGTCTTCGTGCATGATATCTTGTGTTCCGCTGTGCTTTTCCATGTGGCTAGGCCTCATGAGCCACCCCCTGCTGAGAAGCAGGCTTGTCGCAGTCAGTTCTGATGACAGAAGGGTATGAACAACTCGTTGAATCTTTAATGTGCACGTGGGAGTACCAGAGCTGAGCGCGTTACAGATGTCACATTACAGATAGTGTGAAACTGGACGCCTGCTGTCCAGGGGGTGGCGCTGTGTGTGCTCGGGGCCCACAAGCATTCGGGATCGAATCCCGGCAGGGGCAGCGAGAGCTGCATGCGTTACATTGGCAATCATGCAGCAACGCAAAATGTGTTTTACTTAGTAGGCCCGTTTCACATATGAAAACTTGCAATACAGTAACACTACAGCGTGACATTTTAAAAATGTCCAGCAGATGGTGCTATAACATTGCACATTTTTAAAAGCTAAATGTTTTAAAATTAGCATGTTCTTTAGGTGCAATCATAGAAGCTAATATTCATGGTAGTTACTCAAGAAGTACATTGTTACTTTGCATTTTCAAAGTGCTTGTTCGTAGAAATTGTCTAAGTGAACAGCTTAGAAAAATTCATCATAGTCTTTCTCATAGATGTAAGTGAAGTGAATGGGGCAATGAGCTAGACTACCAGGCCCCTACTTTTACGTTTATGCAGTTTGCTATTTATTATCACAATTTATAGCATATGTACCATAATAATAAAACCTATGTAGAGGAGAATCACTTTCCTGTAATCAGAGCGTATTAAGATTTTGCAGAAGATTCAGTACCTTGTATCCTGTATAACAGTAATTTCCTTTTCAGCATAGGTTTGGAAACACTCTGCATTTTCATAGGATAATAGATACAACTAATCAATGTTGAATTTCCAGTCTAATCAGTGTTTCCACATTGAAAGGAATATTTTGTAACGCTCAATTCTGGGACGACAATACATTTCAGGCTAGGAGGAGCAGAAAGTATTCAAGGTAGAACTGAGACTTCCAACAACAACAAAAAAGGTATAGAGGGCAGACTCTGCTTATATCCTCTAGCCCTTCTAGCCCATCTAGTAAATAGTCGGGTTCTCTTCCCGACATTTCTTGACGGAAACCGGGGTATCAGCTTCAACCAACTTTTTGTTCCATACCCCCACACCTCTTTATATATTTATACAGTATAAGAAAATGATAATTTCTTGTTAATTGCACATCTGCAGTCATTTTTTCCTTCAAACTGTTTACTTGTTTACTTGTACATTGTCTACTGTTTGTTTGTACAGTATATTGTCTTGATGCACTGTCTGCACTTTGTGTTTTTACACTTGTTTTAACAATCGAGAGACTTTCTGTAAGGAAGAATTCCATTGTACCAGTACATGTACCG